CATCGGTTTTCGCACACGGATTTTCATTTGGAAAATTCGCAAATTCGCATCAGGAAAAAATGCAAGTAGCAAATGGAAAGCGGAAAATGGAAAATGCCAAATAGCGAATGGCGAATGCTAAAGTCCGCAGAGCACAAATCAGCAAAGCAAACAACCAAAAATCAATTCGAATCCCAAATGTCAATTCACTCGAACTCTGAAACTAAAGAGAGAAGGAGGGACGGAGAGAGAGAGAGATAGAGAGAGGGAGGGATTCTCACATGGCATACTAATGAGAGGCTCAAGCGTCAATGGAGGGTGAGGAGGCTGCCTATATGAGTATGTTTATACATGGAAAAAGCCTTTTAAATCAGTTAACAAATCTGATATATAGGCAATTATGGTATTTCTTTAGTATTTTCTGTATTGCACTAGCAGCGTGGAGCTGTGAACTGGAGTATTCCCAATCTAGTTTTGTCTGCCAACTAGTGTATAGTTGTTGCCTTCTGTTGGTTATATCCCTGCCAAGATATTTTCCCTGATGAAAATTCAATTCTTATACATCGACATCATTGCTTGCATATAAATGATATTTTCAATTGCTTTCTCTAGTTCAATCTCTCACTCAATGAAAATGTTCATTCATCAAGCAAACAGAAATAATGTATAAACTTTTTCCTCAATTTCCCTCATTTCTGCATCTGTCTCACCTGCCTGCAGCAGCAGCAGCAGCATCGCAGCTCATATTTTCGTTGTCAGAGACTTTGCCCGGAAAAACTCGTGATGAAAAGCTGCAGAGTTCATTAAAGCGTGTCGCAGCTTTATCGCCAACTGGGGAGCCATAAGCCAAACTTCTGTTACACTTTTCGCTCTGCCACTTATCGCTTTTCATATTCAAATATCCGTCTCTTCTGCCCACCCCCGCTCTCGCACTGAGGTAATTAATCATTCGCGCTGCTACAAGAGTGAAAAAAATGTCTCTCGAGATAATGTCAACATAAATTGTTTTGGCAATTTCTAACAATTTTCCTCGCATTATTTATGAACTTTTTTCTTGTCGCATTTAAAGCTGACTGAAATTAGCCTTTGTCAGTGGGCGTGGCACACTCGAGGGCAGCAATCCGAGTTGGAGTTGGAGTTGGAGTTGGAGTTGGAGATGGAGTCGGAGTTGGCGTCGCTCGCTCTTCATTTTGAGGCATTCAATTTGACGTGTTGACTTTGGCCTTTGGCCAGTTCGCTTGCTGTGCAAACAAGGACATGCGGACGGACACACACACAATCCTTGAGCTCGTTTAGCCTCAATTCGTGGCAGCCCCGCCCCAGGTCTACGCCTACCCCACCTCCCCTGCTCGGACTGTGAATGCGGCATTTAATGAGCCTGTCAGCAGTCAGTTTATTCAGTCGGCTGCACAGGGCTCAGCTGCTTGCATATTCAGCCGGTAGGGGGGTTGAGTGGGAGTTGTCCTTGCCTTGTCACGGCTTGCCAACCCCCTTTGCTTGTCCTGTGGTCAGCTGTAATCACAAAGTTTAATGAATGGATTAGACCAGGGCTAAAGTTGTGGGCGGCTGCTGGTTGCTGCGCATTGTGGGCTTAGCTTGAGCGCAGCAAAAGGGTGTGAAAGGTTAGAGAAAGTTATTTATAACAGGCATACATATAGTATTATTGATCAATGGGTGGAGAGAGAGAGAGAGAGAGAGAGAGAGAGGGAGAGGGAGAGCAAGTGATTGAGAGAGTAAAGAGGTAGATCGACTGGGAATGAGAGAAATTGAGAAAGAGAGAAAAAGCAAGACAATCAGTTAAATTAGATTAATCGAATCAAGACTTATAGACATGTATTATGGCATATATAAGCATGTGATAATATGCGAGGGTTGTCTGATTCTTTCATCAACTTAATTCCGAAATTTAGCTCTCTCTGTGCTCCCATCTGGATTCTGTCTTATTTTGAGTTTTCCAAATTATGCTAACTCAATTTTAAGACACTTCCGTTTCGGCACGCGAACAGCGCTGCAGCCACGCCCCTTTCTGACAGCAGAGTGGTTGAAATTAAAGGCGTCGCAATGGTGGGTCAATGAATTCAGATTTAAAATATATTTCTGTGAATATATGTATCTAATTTATTTATAACTACAATCTTTTATTTCACACTCTGACTCTTTGATTAATGTTTCGCATGTCACATGAGAGCATTTCATATGGAAAGCTTCATTTATTAGCGGAAATTATTCTAACGCGCTGACAAGACAAAAAAGGAATGCAATTCATAATCTTCTGTTCTCCTTTCAACATTTAATTGCAAGTTAAATAGTTAACGTGATAACTGATGCAGAACAGTCCTCAGCTCATTAAGTCACAAAGTAAATGAAGATATTAAGCATAGAAGCTTCCTATATGGTATATAGACATATATAAAAATATATACATATTTTATTTTAATTTCCTTTGTGTGCTTAAAGTAGTTATTTTTTATTTAAAACTTGGCTCTTTAAATTTGTTATTTATCCGCGTTTGCTAACATTTCCATAACAGTGGTTTGTGTCTCTGCTAGACCAGTGCGCCGAGATAGAGATAGCCATACGCAGCTCAATGCGCTAGAGCAGCATAAGCAGTCGCATACAGTTGCCCACACCCTAACGTTAGAGTGAGACAACTAGTGCACACAGCCGGCATAAAGGGGAATTCGCTTATATACACACTCAGCGCTGATTGGTGGCAGCGAATTGCTTATATACAGACGCAAGAGTAGAAGCCAGCTCCAACACTCGCGCAAACACGCACACACACACACACACGCGCACCTCCTCTTCAGTTGGCGCTGGGTGAGCGCTTCATTTGAGGGAAATCCATCATCGTCAGCGGACGTTCGTTTGAGTTGCAAACGCTTTGCAGATGGCGGCGACTCGATAAGGCACAGGACACCAAAAACGATAAAGGACCAACTAGCCGGAGCCAAGGCACCTGACAGCTAGTTGAATTACAGTTGCATAACAAATAGAAGCTAGCAAAAATAAAAACAAGCACCAAAACAAAAAATGAAAAGAAAAAACACTTTAGAAGCAACCCTTACTCAAGAGGGTTGCGAGATTTTTCATAGATTATTTATGAACTCTGATGGAACGCGTCGGCCCACAAATTGCGGGGTGTGAATAATGCGTATTGCCAATTATTGGATTATCATTTGAGGTTTTGCTTTTCGCAAAGAAATGCGTGGGGCATGGAAGAAACTACACAGAGATGTGAGGTTTTAGTTATCGACAGCTCGGAGTAGCAGGCAAGGGTAACTAACTGAAGCAGACATTGAGAGTTGCAATTTCAGACTAAAGTTTGTCCAACTTAGTTTAGCTTTCAAATGAAACAACTTTCTTTCGATTGGTTTATTCGAGTGTGTTCTGCTTTGGTCTATTTACTACATAAGAGAGCTGCCCCGGCTTGTTGTAGGAGCGTTCGGTGCCTTTCATATTCAAGGTGCGCCAGGCTGGGACAAGCAAGGCCAGAGTTTGATCGGCTCTCTTATGCTCTGTCGGCTGTGGGCCTCGAGTCTGTTGGGAGTTACACCTATTTGGTAGCGTCGAATCGAACTACTGGCTTATGATAGACAAGGTCAGCGCCCAAGTTGGGATTGGTAATCCTCGTCGCAGTCTCTCTCTTCCTCCCCATATCAGCATCCTGAGAGGAGTCTCTTTGATTCATCGGCGAGATGACCGAGGACTTTCGCTTCGAGTTCCTCGGAGGCTTGTGCATATTCTGCACGTAGTTATTGTCGCTTAAGCGGACGCCGGCTCGAAGGGCGTTGTTCGCCCGCCGACTGGCAGCCGACTCATGCCACTGGTGGGCGCTGGTGCCGGCGAGGTTTGAAGCTGGTTTGTTCGCCATTTCGACACTTGACTCTTTGAGCGTATGTCCGGTTGACCGGAGCAGCCTGGCCTACAATACTAACATTCTTGACGAGACCAGAACAAAACTTTTTTCGACAATTTTTCAAAATATATTGGATTATCATGACAATCCAGGCTAACTTTGATACTTTAGAGTTACGATGATATAATATACCGATCCTTCCCCTTCACTTTGTCCACACTGTTTTCCTCCCCATACTTTTGCAGGTCTCTCTCCTTCACCCTGACTCGCTCCTCTTTCATTTACTTTTCCTTCCTGTACTCCATCGTTGGCTCTATTCCTCTATTCCCCCTTCTCCATTCTTCTTCAAGCTCAATCGATAAACACTTTTTTGTCGTTGCTCAACACTACGCAGCAAGTCCTATCGAATTTGAGCAACACTTTTCGGTGTGATCTGTCAAACCATAAACATATATAAAAGCAGGGAGCCGACCTGAGATTTGTAATCAAAAGCTATTCAAAGCGTTCACATTAAATCACATTGAAAAAAATAGATTTCGTAGTAAAAAAAATATATAAACAAAATATAAAGCAAATAAATAAATGAAAATAAAATTTATGAAAACTAGAGGAAGAAGATAAATCGATTGAGCAAATAAGAATAAGGAAAATTAAATTACTCACGGATATCCAAGGAGCGTTCGAAAGAGGCCTCAAAAGGTTTCGTATTACAGCGGAATATTCTTCAATCTCTTCCTCTGCTGTTCCTGCGGCGCTCCTCCCAGTATCATCCAATATCAACTCCAAGCAAACTTAAATCAGAAGATCAAAAATGAATACGTCAGATCAGATCGAAGCTCTGTTCGGCTTGCAGATCGAGGAAAAAGTTCCGCCAGCTCCGCCGTTGGAGGCGCCTTTGCTCGACTGCGGCATGGACAGTTGTGATGGGATTGCGCTGGTGGATGGCTTTGATGGCGTATCTTTCGAAACCATTAAGGGCTACGACGAGCCATCCCGCGGAGAGGATGCTGAGATCGATGCTCGACTGCAGGAGGAGCTGAACTCGCTGCCCATGGTGGAGCCGGAGCCAGAACCGGAACCAGTGCCCGAGGCGGTCGCCCACCCCCAGCAGCAACAGCAGCCAATACAACAACAACAGCAGCTACAGCAGCAACAACAACAATATCAGCAGCAGAAATATCAGCAGCAACAATACCAACAGCAGCAATATCAGCTGCAGCAGCAGAAGCAGCAGGCATCTCGCGTGCTCTACAAGCCGCGCACTGTGCAGGAGGCGGGCAAGTTCTCCATCAAAATGCCAGCGGGGGGCGGAGGGGTGAAGGTGCTGCCCAACGGCAGCTATGCGACACAGCTGAAGATGCAGTCGCAGATACGCGGCGTAGCTGGATCAGTTGCTCAGCATCCGTACAACAGGGTGATGGTGGCCAATCCGCAGGATCGCTTCAGGAACGGACAGAACCGAGTGTTTATGCAGAACGGCACTCCTGCGGGCTTTCCCAAGTCCCTCACGGACTTTATCAAGGCCAAGAGCGGCGTGGTTCCGGGCCAGAGCCAGATGCGAGGCCTCCTGCCCAACCACATGATGAAGCCGATGACCCAGATGAAGCTGCCAATGAATGGCGAGCTGCCCAATGGGCTGCGCGTGCCGCAGCAGCGCCGGGATTTCCCGCCGATGCATGCGCCGCTCGAGGACGACGAGGTGGACTTCGAGGAGATCGGCGTGGCGGACACCTACTCCTCGTACTGGCCGAGCAAGCTGAAGGGCGGCTCGCGGCATCCCGATCCCGTGGTGGAGACGGCCACGCTGTCCTCCGTCGAGCTGCCGGACATCACGTACGAGCTGGCCCTCCCAGACAAGCTCAAGAACTCGAACAGACTGAGCGCGCTGCAGCTGGAGGCGGTGACCTATGCGTGCCAGGCGCACGAGCAGTTGCTGCCCAGCGGCCAGCGAGCGGGCTTCCTGCTGGGCGACGGCGCGGGCGTCGGCAAGGGACGCACCGTGGCGGCCATCATCTACGAGAACTACTTGCGCGGCCGCAAGCGTGCGCTCTGGATATCGGTGTCGAATGACCTGAAGTTCGACGCGGAGCGGGATCTGCAGGACATTGGGGCGAGCAAGCACCTCAAGGTTGCCTCGTTGAGCAAGTTCAAGTACAGCCGCATCAACTCCGGGGAGAACGACTACTTCAAGCGCGGCGTCATCTTCTGCACCTACACCGCCCTCATCGGGGAGTCGGCGAACGCCAAACCCAAGTACAACACGCGGCTGCGCCAGCTGATCAACTGGCTGGGCAAGAAATTCGATGGGGTCATTGTGCTCGACGAGTGCCACAAGGCGAAGAACCTGAGCCTGATGAACGCCGGCAAGTCCACCAAGACGGGCACCACGGTGCTCGAGCTGCAGCAGCTGCTGCCGATGGCGCGGGTGGTTTACGCCTCGGCGACGGGTGCCTCGGAGCCTCGCAACATGGCGTACATGGTGCGCCTGGGGCTGTGGGGCCCCGGCACCTCCTACTCGGAGTTCTTCAAGTTTGTGAACGCCGTGGAGAAGCGCGGCATTGGGGCCATGGAGATCGTGGCCATGGACATGAAGCTGCGGGGCTCGTATATCGCGCGCCAGCTGAGCTTCAAGGACGTCAGCTTCCGCATCGAGGAGGTGCCCATGTCGCGGGACTTCCACAAGCTCTACAACCACTCCGCCGAGCTGTGGGCCGAGATCAATGAGAAGTTCGTGAAGGCCTGCCGCCTGATGTGCATCGAGAACCGCGTCCAGAAGATAATCACCTGCCAGTTCTGGTCGGCGCACCAGCGCTTCTTCAAGAACCTCTGCATTGCCTCGAAGGTGAACCATGTGGTCAAGATGGTGCGCGACGCGGCGCGCCAGGGCAAGGCAGTGGTCATCGGGCTGCAGTCGACGGGCGAGTCGCGCACCCTGGAGCACTTGGAGCTCTACCAGGGCGAGCTGACCGGCTTTGTGTCCACCGCGAAGATGATCATACAGTCGTTCGTGGAGAAATACTTTCCCGCACCCTCGCGCGATGCGTTCTATAAGCTGCTAAGCACGGGCACCTTCGAGCCGGAGGCTCGTTGGAAGAGCTCCGGCCCGAAGCGCAGTCGCGTGATTTCCGAGTGGTCGGACGACGACATGGATGTGGAGGGGGGTGATAGCGACATGGAGTTGTGCGACAACTCCTGGAATGGCGACGACGATGATGATGACCGCCTGAAGGCGGGACGCAAGCGACGCGGCCGTCCGCCCAAGCTGGACAAGGGTAAGAACTCCAACAGAGCCGGGAACAGTCCTGCAACTCATACGCCCTTACTCCTTTCTCACAGTAGAGAAGATAACCATGCAGGACCGCATCCTGCAGCACCTGTGCGACAACATGAATGCCAAGCATGACGACGACGACGATTCTAGCTGCGATTCCTCCAAGCCGCAGTCGGCCAAGATCACGGAGCGAGACGTCGACCGCTGCATCACGGTGCGCGAGAAGCTGCTCGATAAGATTGAGATCCTGGGCAAACGCATGCCGCCCAACACGCTGGACAAGATCATCTCCAAGCTGGGCACCAAGGTCGTGGCTGAGATGACGGGCAGGCGCGGCCGTGTGATCAAGATGGACGACAACACCTATCGCTACGAGCAGCGCGGCGAGGCGGAGACGACCATGGACCTGGTCAACTACATGGAGAAGCAGCGCTTCATGGAGGACACCAAGCACGTGGCCATCATCTCAGAGGCGGCGTCCAGCGGCATCTCGCTGCAGAGCGACAGGCGGCTGGCCATTCAGCGCCGCCGGCTGCACATCACCTTGGAGCTGCCCTGGAGCGCAGACCGAGCCATACAGCAGTTCGGACGCACGCATCGTTCAAACCAAGCGAACGCGCCCGAGTACGTCTTCCTGATCTCGGATCTGGGCGGCGAAAGTCGCTTCGCAGCGACTGTGGCCAAGCGGCTGGAGAGTCTTGGGGCTCTCACGCAGGGCGATCGGCGGGCCACCGATGCAAGGGATCTTTCCAAGTTCAACATTGACAACAACATCGGGCGCAGCGCCCTGGAGAGCGTCCTGCAGCAAATCACGGGCGAGAAGCCGCTGGAGGAGGTGCACGTTCCCGACACCTACAAGGGCGACTTCTGCTTCGACTGCTGCGTCGCGCTCTCTGGCGTGGGCATGCTGAGCGTCTCCGAGGACAACAAGGGTCACCAGATCTTTGTCATTGAGAAGGACAGCAACAACATACCCAAGTTCCTCAATCGCATACTCGGCTGCCGCGTCGAGGTGCAGAATGCGCTCTTCAAGTTCTTCCTCAACAAGATGTATTCGCTCATCCTACAAATGAAGCGCTCCGGACACTTTGATCTCGGCATCCTGGACCTGGATGCGCACGGCGCCAATGTGACAGCCATCAAGCTGATACGCTTCGTCAGAAAGCATGCCACGGGCACGGCGGCCACAGAACTCCACACCTTGCAGGTGGTGCGCGGCATGTCCTACGATCAGGCGTTGGCCAAGTAAGTGAACTAGATCCTCCTCCCCTTAGCCTGCTGCTTTTCCTCCCATTCCTTTTAGTCTACTCTCATATCCTCAATTACTTGCCTCCTTCCTAGGTACAAGAAGGAAGCACGCCAGGAGCACGAGGGCTTCTATACCTTCAAGCAGGAGCGCAACAACAACAATTGCGCCATCCTCTGCCTCAATGCCCAGCCGGACCAAATCGAGACCACCGACCACAGCAAGCTGAACATGAAGATCTATCGGCCCAACACGGGGCCCCAGGTGCGCACCGAGACGCTCAGCTCGATTAGCAATCGCTACGTGAAGGCCTCGCCCGAGGCAGTGAAGCAGTTCTGGGACATGCAATACAATCAGTGCCTGCGCGTGTGCTCCCACATCTACTGGAACCGCCGCTGCCCCTTCGGCATCAAGTGCGGAGTGGGTCTCCGGGTGCGCACCTACCACGTGCTCTCGGGCCTCATGCTGCCCATCTGGGATCGCATTGCGCTGATCATCGAGAAGGATGGCCGCAAGATCCAGATGATACGCGTGAAGACCGACCAGAACAAGAAGATCGTTGGAACTGTGGTGCCCGAGGGAGTTTACCATCAGCTGGTGGCCGACCTCTCGGCCGATTCCGTAGTGGAGAGCAGGGACCTCAGGGTCCCCAAGCAATAAGATGTCATTTATCATTCGACTCGCCTTCTTCACTTGCAAGTTGTTAGAGCTGATCCGTCAATAAAACATGCCCGAGTAAGGAAATCCTTGCTCTAGAGGGTTTATATCTAGTCGCTTATGCGGACTCTAATACATATCACAATTCTGCTCTTTAATACTTTTATTTTTTTTTTTCTTTTCATATAATTTTTTTTTTTTTTTTTTTTGCATTGAAAGTTGGAAAACTCACAAGACATAATGAAACTTATATAAGTAGTTTATAATTTAATTAGCGTTTGCCAAATAAGAATCTAAACATAGTTTAATCAGCTGCGCAATATTGCGATCCGCTTTAATTCTGTTCCCATCTCTAGATTTTATCCTTCTAGTTTAGATATATTTCTGTTTCGGTTCTCGTATGCTTTTGTAAAGTTTAGAATTTATCCTATTAATATAATAGACATAAAACTGATTAAATAGAGCGTTAGGTGGACAATAGGTGTTTGCCAAGGCTCGCGAGCTATTAGTATAAATCTGATTTGCGTATAAAAATAGAAACTCTAATTCTCAACTCAATTTCGGCGCCCCATAGGTTGCTTGGCTTTAGCTTCTGGTTTGCTATGTGGCCTGCTGCTCGATAGACAGGACGCTGTCTCCTGCACTCTCAGTGTCTGCTCCTCCCACGTCCTTGGACGTTTCGCTGTCTTCGTGATGAGCCCATCCGTTGCGCTGGGTCTCTTCTTAGGCACTTTACGTGTTTTACAAACAGAAAAGTTGACCAAAAATAATCGCAATTGAAATGTTTTTCCCTTTTAATGGTAGTCCTAATAACTGGAGTTCGTGTCATGCCTTACAAAAGTTACTCTGATATGTGGGCGGGTTCCATGCACCCAACAGTATCGTTCTCTAAGTACGTTTACGAATATATATGTGTCCTTTCGCCACGATCTGTCATGGACTTTTGATCTGCTGATTTCCTCATCTCCAAGAATCTCATTTGTTGAAACTGCTCTCTCGTTTCTTCTCTATCCTCCTCTTGCTCCTGCTCCTACTCCTTCTAATTGCTAAAGTTGAGCTTAAACTTGTTTTTGCACTTAATTTTAAAGGATTTCCCGTAAAAAATCTATAAATGTTTGCAAGAACCGCAATCGAACTCTTAAGATAACTATAAGAAACGATCCGTGAAATCAAAATCTATGTAGGGTATATCTTAAGCATAACTCGCGTTGTTTTCCACTTCAATTAAACATTTAAAAAATAAGAAATTAAGTGCCTCCGCTTCCATAAAAGACAAACACACACAAAAAATGTTTATATGCAAATTGCTTCAGGGCGCGCACGCAAATCGCGCACGAGTCGCGCACGAATCGCGCGCAAAACGCGCCTGAGTCGCCTCGTCGCGCGAGGTCGACTGCAAATCGGGATCTGAATACATATCTATATATTGCCCGACTGGCACCTAACTGGCTGTTAGATTGCTTAACGATACTCGTCTTAAGTAAATATTTTGCTGCCTACATAAAAACGCGCGCGCGTTTTGAGAGTCGCGCGCGACTTGCATCGCTCAAATTGGAGGCGGGCCGCGAATATAGCGCAACTGGGGCGTGAAACTCATGGACAGATTGTTCAGATTATCGCAGCAATTGGGCTGCATCATGCACGCAGCGCAGAAGAACGTGAACAGCGCCAGCTGCATGGGCACAGCGGCACGCGCGATGCGCCACGCCCAGCCGCGAGGCTTCGCCTTGGCGGCGGCATCGTCCTCATCCTCGGAGCTGTCCAGCATGGTGGCTGGATCCTCGGGCGGCTCATCCCCTCCGCCGCCAGAGGCGACAATGCGCTGCAGCTGCTCCACAACCTGCTGCTCCTGGTCCTTGCGCAGCGGCTGCTTCTCCTGCTTCTCGCCAGCTGGACGAGGCTTGCGTCCGTTGCGACGTTTGGGCGAGTGATCGGCCGACTTGACTGCCAGCTGCTTGGCATGTCCATTCGCAAGTGGCTGCTTCTGCTCCTCATGCTCCCTTTGCTCCTTCTGTTCCTTCAGCTTCTCCTGCTGCTTCTGCTGGTGCGAGGCAGCTGTGCGCACAATCAAGTCTCTGCACGTGTTCTGCAGCTGCTTCAGCTCCGCCTCGGCGCTCTCCATGCGCTCAGCAATGGAACGCATCGCGGCGCTGCCTGGCGCTAGGGCCAGCTCCAGCTGCTTGGCCAGGCGACGCAGAACACCCAGACGGCGCTCGCGCTCGGACAAGCCGCCATCGGAGGTGGCGCCGCCGTCCGAGATGCCCGAGTCGGACAGCGAGCCATTAGAGGCTGTGAACTTGGCAATGTGATAGATGTGATTGGGATCCAGGTGCTGCTGCACAGCGAGCAGCTGCTCCTGGCTGACGTTGACCTTTTCCGAGAGCAGCTTGGCCACCAGCTTGACGTTCTGTGCCAGCTCCACGGGCGTTGCCTGCCCCTTGTCCAGGGCACCCTCCAGGCCCTTGAGTGTGCCGCGATCCTGGCCTAGCGCCAGCTGGAACTCGCTCAAGCCACACTCCAGCTGCCGCCAGGCAATCAGGGAATTCGTGAGCATCTCCAGCTGCGAGTTGATTCTGGAATGGGACAGCAGAGGATTAGTCAATGATCCAAGTTCATCTATTTCCATGTCGTTCACTCACCTGGCATCTGCCTCATCCCAGGCGCTGTACATGTCGCTGACCTCGTCCTTGAGGTGCTTGCGGAACTCCTGCTCGGCGCTGATCAGGCTGGACACGTCGCAGGTGCCAGTGGAGGCCTCCACTACCTGGTTGCCATTGCTGTCCGTTACAGTGATGGCCACGCCCGCCCCCTGCTCCAGCTCAAGCTGCTGCTGCTCCTCCTCCTCCTGCAGCTTCTTCTCTTTCTGTTGAAGTTGTTCGGACTCCTGTTGCAGCTGCTCCTGCTGCAGACGCCGCTCCTGGCGAGTCAGCCAGCTGTGCACGGAGGCATTCAGGCGCAGCATGTTGGTGCGATAGCTGCTCAGCTGTGTCTGATCGTGCTGCAAGTGCAAGTGGGTTATATTTACGATCCGCTGAAGCTGCGGCAAGGCAGCTCGAACTCACCTTCAAGGCTTCGATGGCCACCTGTATGGCCGGCTCTGTGTCGAGCAGCTCCGGCGTGGAGGGATCGCCAAGACGGCGCAGCGTGTGCTTCAGTGCGCTCATCTCCTGCTGCAGCTTGCGTGCGCTGGCTGCATTCTCGCTCCAGTTAAGCAAATCCTCCCAGTTGGCCAACAGATCTGCAAGCGAAAAGCAGAAAATCACAGCGAGTTAATGGTGCAAGCCAGACTCAAGTGGAGAAAGCCAAAAACTATCGATAATTGGCGCAATTTGAATTCGGATTTGGAGTTTACAGCCCTTTGAGAGCAAGATGAAACCTTTCCATTTCCCCCCTCTCTCTGTCTCACTCTCACTCTCACTCAACATCTGTGCAATGTAAAGTGAAACTTTTGTTTGTTTGTAGAGGAGCCGCACGAAAATGATAAACGCAACAAAACAATAAACATTTGGCACTAAATGCGCCAGAGTGGAACAGTCGAGGAGAATAATCTCTCTGTATATATAATATTTGTGTGTGTGTGTGTGTGTGTGCATGTGTTGTCAAACTGAGAGTGTGTGGGAAGCAAGACAGCGCCTATTTTTGCAACTGCAGCAACAGGCGACGCCTCATAGAATAGAAGACTCCACACACCCTATAGTCTGTTGATAAAGCGGGCATATAGCATTCAGACTCTGAGAGCAGAGAAGCTTGAAGAGTTGTAGAAGATTCCCACTGATAGATCAAACTTGATGGCATGATTCAGGGGGTTTTACTTATATAGAAGTATACCAATTTATATAGGGCATCTTCTAGTCTCAATTGCCAACTGTATGCGCATTAGCAACGCGTGGGCAGCAGACCTAAACTTGACAATAACTTTAAGGCAGACGCTGGGCGAACTGGATTTGTCAAACGCTTTGTGAGTGTGTGGAAAGTGAAAAGAGGTTTGCCAGAACTCACCCAAAGCACAAAGTTATAGTAGATAATCTCTATTACTAGCAACAGATTAGCAGTTAGTCCCAAAACCATCAACCGACTCGTGGCAAGGCTGCGGCCCAACTGATCAGCTAATTGAATTGTGCGAGCACATCAGCGAGCCAATTACTTTCACCCAGCAGGTGGATGCCACTTGGCCACTTGGACACAGGTGGAGGCTTATCTGCAGCTGGAGCTGGGCTCGCGGCTGCTTTTAATACAATATTAAACGCACACACTCTTGATTGTCAGGCACTTCACGTACTGCGGCGCAGCGCTCTGCACGCACTTTGGAACAGGAGCAGCAACGGCAGCACACGAAACCGAACTTGTTGGCAGTCGAGCTCAAACTGGTTGACTGAGCGTGAGTGTGCGCCGCGCGAGCTGACTGCACGAGTGCAGCGTGCCCAGAGCAGCTCGAGCGCAGCAAAACGATCGAGCAACTGAGGCACAGTGGGACGAACATCGCGAAAAGCGATAGACAAGCAATTAGTGGTAAACTGAATAGAGTAATCAGTGGAGAGGAGGTGACTGATGAAAGCTATTGATAATTGCAATATGATGCTTGAAAAGCGATATACTGATAATAGATAACACAAATCAATAACAAATCCAGACAACAACAAAGAACAGTCGCTATTTATATTATTCCTGCCAACTATTAATCGACTTATAGCAACTATCGCAACATTTCGACAATTTCAGCCCACTGTGCAGCTTTTCAATTTCCTCGCAGAAACTTGCCCAGTTTTATCTCTCTCGAGTCCAATTGATATCCGTGGCGGTGCGTGGCAGAGGATGTCCACCTCGGCCACATCGGCTACGCACTTTGCAAGCAGGCGAAAACTCGTAATCTTAAGCGGATTGCACAACTCGCAGCCTCTGCTCGGGGTGAGGGCTTTGCACCTGCCAGATGGGGCGTTGGCCGGGCCAGCTAGGCATTATCATTGCGCACTTGGACTGCAGATGGGGCGTGGCAGAGGCAGAGGTGGCTGGGGTGGAGCCCCCATCTAGCTGCACAGTGAAAAGCTCGATCATCGTAATAGCTCCCAGTGGAAATTAATAATCTGCGCAGCTGGATAAACGCTTAAAGAGTGCTCATAAAATTGATTAGCAATTGGCAGCACTGCAAATTGCTAAAAACTTTCACTTTAATCAATAATTAGTGCTATAATTGCCAATTCGCAATCGCCAATTGGAGTTGCATTTAAATTTGAATTCTAATAGGAAAACTCGACCCTCTGCGAGCTGAGCTCCGAGCTCAGCGAATCTCTGTTTTCATTTCCTTAGTTTCTTTTTCTGTTTTTTCTGCTTTTTTGCTGACTTTGCCAAGTGAAATTCGTGTTTGCATTTCGTCACGCTGCGAAAATTGTTTAAGAAAACAAAAAACCCGAGAGAAACATGCAAATGCAACTGCAACTGCAACTGCAGCCACAAAATGCAATCCAAGGGCATTGACGCCCACTAAAACTTGGCAAAAAACACAAAAATAACTGAAATGCAAAATATATTTGTGTAGCAAATTCACATTCTTGCGAAAACGTTTGACGTGGGCGTTGCTCTCGAGGAGGTGTTGACAAGTGGGTGCATAGGTGTAGGTGCGAATATATATTAAGTCAAATGCAGCCGGCGGGAAATCTAATAAGCAAACACTTTCTAAACACGCTTGCAACGATCTTAAGTGTTCTCTTTAACTAAATAACTCTCTCCCTTTCTCTCTCTCTGTCCGTATCTGCGTCGTCTCTCTCTCTCTCTAAATCCTCTATCTGCCACTTTTGGTATATCTCCCCTTTCCACATATATAGAACGACTTTGTCATTGATATATATCACATAAGTCTCTATATGCTAAAAAGCTTCTCGCTCCCATTCTCCCTCCACTTGTCTTGCTCTCTCTCTCTCTGAATTAAGTAACTTCTATCTTACTATTCCTAAATTTTACTTTCTTCTATTGTTTCCTCTCTTTCACAACTTTAGTCTCTTTCTCCGTAAGAGACAGAAGTTATTCCAAAAGAGATATGCAAATTTTAATGGGCAATATAATCATCCATATAAAAGTAGTCAGCTACTATTCTACCTCTGCCTCGCTCTCGCTCTCGCTCTTTCTCTGTCTCTCTGCACTATACAGCAGCTGTCGTTGTAAACATCTACAAATAGATACATTCTGTGCAAAATTTATATGTATTTCGCAAGTAAACAAAATATGACGAATTCATGAATGCCTGAAAGTCTAGCCAACACTTGCAAAGGCTTGCCAACTGTTAAATGCTCTTCATATAGTTATATCTACTCTTTTTATTACTCTCAGAGGCGATTGCTTTTTACCTTTAGGCAAGTCCAGACTAGAAACCCATACCCAACTACTTCCAACTCTCTTTTCTTAAATTATTTTTAACCATTTACACAAATGCCTACCAAGTTACCCAAGACCTGTGCCGAAATGGGCACAAGGATTCGACTGCGTGACAAGGACCCATAAAGCGAAATGGGAATGCGACAAATGGCAAGCAAAGGTGTGGCAGCCCGGGAAGGCGGTGCCAATGGGCCAACCGACACGATTCTTGTCTTCAGCAAAACGTATTTACTTACTAATAGTAATAGCAACAGAGTCGAAGATGAGCGAGGAAACAGGGTTGCCAGCATAGCCCAAAGGCATAGCGCCCAAGCGAAGCTTCGCGCATATTTGGCCACAGATATTCTTGAATAATTATGTGAAGCAAGCAGCCGAAAGGTAAACGATGACAGCAATTATATATAATTAGCAAACATATTTCTGAGAACGTAGCCAAAAAATAAACAACAAAAATGCTGTTTTGGCTCTTTTCAAGCTGATTAGCGAGTGGAGCGACTCATGAATCGAAAGAGATAATGCGATTAGCATCAAGCCGCGAAAACTTGCCGATGAATCTGTGAAAGTCGTTAGCTGCGGCTGCGGCTGCTTAGCAGCAAATGTTAATTACTATTTTATTCATTAATTAATTTTCAAATAGTTGTATTTATGGCTAATAAAAAAGCAACATTAAATGAGCTCAGCTCTTTTATGCATTTTAGTTACGAATTTTCCTTCTGAATAACTCTCCATTTCCTTCTTTCTTTTTCTCTTAATCTTTCTAGTTCAATGTGATCTTAGCTCTTCTATTTCCCCATTCTTCTCTCTGTCCTTCGATGCCTCTGCATTTTCCCCAGTCTCCCAGTCTCTGTCTCCTTTTTCTATATCCCTCTCCTTTTCGACGCTCTGGCAACACTGGATGCAAGAGTGACCATTTGTCATTTTCCGCTTGAGTGCAGTCAGAGTGTTTTTGGGTAGCAAACACGCCCCGAAGACAAACGAAATGAATGCAATTTGTTTTCTGATGCCGATTGCATGTGGGAAGGTGGGTTAGTTAGCTCACCTCAAACTCTGCAGCAGCAGCAGCAACCGCATTTGATATGAAACTGTAAACCATTTATCATATTGTAATTTCAATTTCGATTTCAATGCGATACGATTTCAGTTTTCAATGACTTCACAATTCCCAGCAAATTGAAGGTCAACCGCAAATGAGGCCAAAGCAAAAAAACATAAAGATCGAAAGAAAAAACATTTTTGATTCTTATAATTAATGGATAGAATGACGCCAGACTTTTGCCTTATATAAACAAATGCACATACATATATATACATATTTTGTTTTTTCATCATCCATTTTGACCCACGTTGAACCTAGGTTCCGGTTTTTGCCATTGCCCCAGCTTGGGTTCAACGTATTTCCCACTCTCCATAACTGAAAAATAAAACATCAAAGCGGAACGCCAACAATTGACCATAAAAGAGCCCACTGTACAGGAGTACCGTTAATGAGTGTATGAGGGTATGTGTGTGTGTCAAGCTGAGCGTGAATAAGAGGCAGAGCCAGGGTAGCATAGCTTGGCTACATTGTTTGAGCCATAAAGCTCGATGGCCATAATGCAGTGCCCTATAAAAGAATAAAAAAAAAAGCTGCAATGCAATTGCAATGACTTTGATGCAATCACGCCCCTTGCCACGCCCACATCTCTCCCCATTTGCCCATAGAGAAGTTTATGGCTGACGGCGGTGTTTAATTAGCCATGCCGGTCGAGCAACGGCCAACCCAATTTGGCAGCAAATGTGGCATGCAGCAGGCAGCATGTGGCATATGTGGCAAAGACAACAGGTGGCTAAAGTCGGTCAGCAGAAGAAGAGGCAGCAGCAGAGAAAAATCTAGCACAAACGGTTTTC